ACAGCTTAGTTGGAATCGGGTCTAAGATACACGTTGATGGTTTAGAAGAGAGAATCATTGAATTTAATTGTTCAAGGTTTATGGCTGAAAAGCATTCTAGTTTACTATCTAGTGTAATATTAGAACTTACGTTTCAGTAACTATGGTCAGTACTTACACAGCTTAGAACCGTAGTTACAGTAGTAACTATGGCCAGTGTTTACATGGCTTAGAACCCTTGCTACACAAGTAACCATGGCCGGTGCTTAAAGGTGTCAGCCAAATGGCTGCACACTAGATAATATAATATTGGGAGGATGAAATCCTCTTTAATGGCTACATGCAGAGCACACAGCACACACAGTGAAGATTGTTCTCTGCATACCATCCTAGTGCTAGTCTAGTACTAGGAGAAGTAAATAAAACGATATAGCGCTACTGCAATCAAAACCATACGTTACCGGGAGCGAGAGCACTGCCCTTACCGGCTGAGTTAAATAATGAAGCTTAACAGTACATGCAAGGTGTTAGCCAAGCGGCTGCTGCTAACAATCAAGCGAGACCAAGTCAAAACAAAAATGTTAAGACCAGATCATTAGTTTCTAAGGAATAGAACAGCCTGCATAGAACCATTGGCCATGGTTACAGTAGTAACCATGGCCAGTACCTTACCTTACCTTACTCTCTGCACCTAAACAAATAACGGGCAAAATACGGCACCATGGGCTTTCCATACTAAATTGAACGAGAGACGCAGCTAAATGCTAATGATAGCTCGGGCACAACGCCACAAGCATAACTTTCAAAAGAGCATAATAAGGGCAAATTTATGGGAGAGGAAGCGGGAACACTGTCGTCACCAGAAAGTCTAAGCCAAACAATAAACAAGACAGCAATCAGGACAACTTAGCCGGGAGAGGGTGCGGGGACACAACCATCACCAACAACCGCCTTCGTCACGTGGGTCACAGGTGACTTTGTTGTTATTAGGTACTCGAACTGCGCATGCGTGCGATGGACATATCCAGTGTTAAAGCACCGCCTCTGGTGGTCAGTAGGGACGCATTTAAAAAAAAACTATGACGGTTGTTAACCTTCAAACTTTGTGATTCCAATGAAATCAGAATTTGTTGTACATCAATATTTGTTTTTTAGATTAATGTCTTGTGTTTATTCCTGAACGATATTCACAAAATGTTCCTTAAATACAGGCACACTGATGTTTCAAGTGTAAGATGTATGAATGTCATGTGCTTTAAACATGTGTACCAGGCTCGTTACACTCGGTGTGTGATCAGATGATTTGTCTCCACACAGATCGCTCCTGCTGAGGAAGTCAAAACCCCCACCTCGGTAACTCACACTTTACTTCCTTTGAAGAAGTTTTTACGGTATGATCAATGTCTCAGTCTACAGTAAGACCGCAATCAAATGCTGCTCATTTTGAAAGAATCCTCCTCTGGATTCATCATTCAATCTGCTCTTTCTGTCAAAGGGCCTTTGGTGGTCCAGCCTTTAACCCAAAACACTAAACACAAATTTTCTTTTCACAATAAATGTAAACTAGAGGTTATAGTAGTCCTACTGCTCAGTAGTTTATCTTGGAATAAAACCACATTGTACATTTTAAATTTATATAATCTGTTCAATATTTAATATGAATATTCCTTCTGTCATATATTTATGTATATATATATATATATATCTGTATATATAATACCTTGTTAAATTCAACATGTATATTTTGTACTTTCTTGTTTATTTCTAGTCTTTGCATCTTTATTGTATTGTACAGTGCCTTGTCTTTTTAACACAAACATTTCCCACATTGGGATCAATAAAGTACCATCTTATCTTATCTTATCATTTTATTATTATAACTGAATTAAAGTCATGATGTTTGTGTTCTTCAGGAAAAAATGCCGATCCCCTCTGTGGTCATTGAGCCCGCCTCGAGTAACGAAGGGGATGATGACCGTGATGCAGACATAATTTCTCCCACCGCCATCGGGGACAGCGACATGACGGCAGAGACCCAGACCATTAAACACATGAGTCCGTCCGGCGGCGTGTCGGGGCTCCCGGACGACTTCCTCTATAAGGTGGGTCTTCCTCCAGATATTATCAGCTGACAACAGACGCTCATTCAAAAATCCACACCTGATATACTGTGTGATTATTTAGCATAAGAGGTCTACAAACTCAGTCTGTAGTCTGCAGAGGTGGTGACGGTGTTTTCTGCCTGCAGGTGGAGACCATGCACGACTTTGAAGCTGCAAATTCAGACGAGCTGGAGCTGAAGAGAGGTGATGTGGTGCTGGTGGTTCCCACCGCTTCAGTAGAGGATCAGGTGAGAAACTCTGTGAATAAGTGGTCACCAGCATCCGGACAGGGAGCATCCCAACAGTTATTCAGAGCGGTACTGATTTGGTAGTGATCCGGTACTGACTGTCCTTTTGTTGTTGTTACAGGATGCCGGCTGGCTCACTGGGATCAGAGAAAGTGACTGGTTAACACTTGGTGCCAGTGCTCACAAAGGACTTTTCCCAGAAAACTTTATTCAGCGCTTGGAGTAAAGTATTTCAGCTGGGTAAAATACGAGGTTTGAAACACCGGTGGCCAAGCCGTCCAGTCAGCATGTAGCCAACCCCGAAACCCCCGATAACCTGCTGCAGACGTCTGCTGGACCACACAAGGCTTTCTTTGGTTAATGAAGCTCTACTTAAACTTAAATCCTTGTTATTAAAAGTAGCATTATTCCCAGCAAAGTGAAATTAATAAGCATGATATCATAGTATGATCAACCTTTCTCTGAGACTGAGATGTTTTTTGATTTTGAATGAAATAAGTTGTTTTAATTTATTGGGAATGATGCAATTCTTAAATGTTCATGCCAACAGAAGGAAAGTAGTTTGAACTAAATAGACAAACCTGCCCCTTCTTGACAACGAGTGTGTTGTACTGGTTCTGTTGCTGTGTGATCTATTGAACTGTTCTGTAACATGAAAGTCTTTAGCGTGTTGTTTCTCTTCAACACGTCATCACTGTTATCACTCTGTGTGTGTTTCTGTAAAACATGGCCAAGCTTTCATTTGGCATATGTTGTGATAAGTTTAGCGATGATGAGTGTTGTGTTTAGTCCAAAAGAGTGTGACATTTATTATCTGAGCATTGGCAAACAACCAGTGCAAATCCAGCATTAAAATGTAATATTTTACAGTTAGTATTGTACGATAGAAATATTATAGAAAATAGACAGACCATAAAATCGAAGAGTTCATGTAAATCCAAATGTAGAGCTATAAGTCATATGTATATTGAAAATTATAGAATAGTAAGAAAGAAATCCAACAGAAGCTTTTTATTGGTCTACGATCACAGGGAATCTATTAACAAATGTATTATGCAATCTATGTTGTTGGTATATTCCAACGGTTCTGTAGATCAACAAATATGATGTCACTTCCTTTTTAAACGTCTACCATTTTGTGATGTACATACAGTAAATATTTATGTCAAGATCAATAAATAAAAGTTCATAAGGTCCACTTTGTGAAATTCGTTTTGGGTTGAGGGACTTATTGCTGGGTAGAAAATCCATGTGCATCGCCCTGGATCTCTGCATGTGTGTGTGCCTGTGAGTCTGAGACCCTAACAGCAGCGTCTCTGCTGTTTTTACCTGCTTGTCCATTTCGTGAGTCAAATGTTAACGAAACGGACAGATTTCCGTCCATTTCGTGATTCAAATGTTAACGAAACTGACAGACTTCCGTGCACATCAGCGGCTGTCGGATTAAAACAGTTTAATGCACTTTTAACACTCATTTACCCAGGATTCCTGCTCCTTTCCTGGGTTACAAAGTGAGGTGATGCAGCCTGTCCTCTGGGTGCGCTCTGTGGGGGGGGTCTCGCAGCCTGCTTCTCCGGGGTTAGGGTTAGGTTAAGGGGCTATTTACCACCTCTCGTGTCGTTTACAATGTGCATATCTGGGGCTACGAGGTGGGCATCCGTACGGGACCTGCTCTGGGTGAAAGCTTAGGCCCACGGCTATAATGTGTGTGACATTTGGGCCCGGCAGCGGTCTTCCTCGTTACTCTAATTGTAGTTTTAAAACTTCAAACGGCCATAAGTCGTTCCAGCGGGTGGGCATCTGTAGCCCACTTTGTGTGTGCGTTGCACCCGCCCCCCTGCAGGTGCCCACCGAGTTTGAGGCAAATTGGTGCATTTTTCACTTTTCAGTTAAATGGCCCTGTAATTGTTTGCACGAGTGGAATAAATACTCTCTGTTTCCCACAAGAGGGCGCCAAAGTCGTTCAGATTCCGCTATGGATGCGTAAAATAGCACATTCTGAACATCCCCGGGGTTAAGGTTGGTGGTTTGGGTGATGGGTTAGGGGCAATGCTTACGAGAGACTTCATCATTTTAAATGCAGGACTTGTGTATCAGAGTATTGCCGCCGCCACACACACACACACAAAATAGCCAGACTTTTCCCCTAAACCGGCCCGGTGGTGGTTTAGATGGGCTACCGTTTCCTTAGGTCCTACAGATATGGGAGTTGGGTCAAAGTACTCTAAAAAAATCAGAAAAAAAAAAATCAGCTCACTTTAGATAGCTGATACACCCTTTAGAACGGTTACACACACCACCTAGTTATATTGTGGTATACACAGACATTTGTCTTTTGACAAAAGTGTGACTTAT